AAAGGTAAATATTTTCACAAATAAAATATAAAATGAATAACAGTGGTGTTCTGACACATCTTAATATTCAAACAAATAAAATAATAATTTTTCTCATTTATTACGATGAAATCAAATATACTGACATGATCGTCCGCTACAACCTGCACACGGCAATATTAGATTTAGGCCGATATGTCTCCAAGTGCTCATGTCGGCCAATAGTATCGACCAGCCGATATATCGGTCGGGCCCTAGTTTGTGATGAGGAAACAACATTATTACAGATAAGAAACAGTGTGACCTGTGCTTTTACAAAACATAAAAACATAAAACTGTCTGCAGGCGTGAGCTGGATCTGGATCTGTTTAAACTGTTAGGATCAAAATGTCTGAGCAATATTTGTTTTGTGATTAGAACAAATTAAATCTGGAATCAAAATGAAATTGTAATTTGAATGGAAACCGCAAACTCTGCAGATTTTCCACAAAAACAAAACGTCTGATCTTCTTCTTCTTCTTCTTCTTCTTCTGCATAAAAACTGCTGAGTCTGCAGTTTCGCTCTGTACAAACACGTTCTGACATGTGACTCTTGTTTTACTCTGTCTCTTCTTTCGGACGCCGGAGTAAATATTTGGTTCATTCTTTCGTACTTTCACTTTCACTTCAGTAAGAAGAAAAACACAGTGTTATTTTTAGAATCGCAGTGTCAGTGTCAGAGAGAATCAAGTGAATGATGTTTCAGTTTTATTTTTACAGTGTCGTTCAGCTGCTTGTTCATAAACCGTTTTTATAAATCATTAATCTGGCTCCAATTAATTTATTAAAATCTCACAAAAAGTTTTATATTTTTTGTGTCTCATTTCAGAAAATCAAACCCACATTTTACACAGATTCATGACACAGACTGAAACTTTTGAGTGTTTATTTCTTGACATTTTGATGATTGTGATGTACAAATAATGAAAACCCAAAATTCCCCAAAGTCTTTTCAGAAGCCTGACGTTTCTGAATTTAGTTTCTTTTGGTTTTTCATTATTTATAAGCCACAATCATCAAAACGTCAAGAATAAAACACCCAAAAGCTTCAGTCTGTGTCATGAGTCTGTGTAAAATGTGGGTTTGACTGTATAAATAAATAAATAAATAAATATAACTTTTTCATGAAATTCTAATTCAAATATTCTAGTGTTTTATTGAAGAGTTCTGTCTGTCTGGTTTAAGGTTTGAGCTCGGGTGGAGATGTCCTCCCTGCAGTGTCGCTCAGAACAGGAGACAAGATACAGATGGTGAAATTTAAGCGTTTTTAATGAAGCTCAGGCCTCATCGTTGGAACATTAGTGTGGTTTTGGTCTAAAGAGCCGCCGCTCCTCGTCGTGGAGGAGGGTTTTATGTCTACGCCAGAGGCTTTAAGTCTGACGTCTAAAAGTATTTTGGGTTTGTCGTGACATGAAATGAGAAAAGAGAAAAGGTGTCGGACAAACAGCAGACAGTTTACAGACACAACGCAGCGTGAGGTTCAACTCGGGAAATAACACAACATGAGAAGTCACGAGATAAACCCACACGCCGAACATGTTCAAGAATGTGTTCAGAAAATCAAGTCAGGACAAAAAACTCTATGTGAAACATTTACAACAGCTCAAGAAATAACAAATACATCACAGAATATAAAGCCGCTGATTTACACCATTTTCCACAGTGACGGCGTCAGGTTTAAAAGGTCAGACCAGGAGTGTCAAACTCATGTTGTTCCAGGGGCCGTGTCCAACTGACTTTGATCCCAAAGTGTCCGGATCAGAAAACTCATGTCATATAAACCCCAAAAATAACAATAAGTTCAAATATTTGTGCAGAGAAACACAAATCTATTACAGAAATCTTTTTAAATTGATGAACTCTTTCTTTTACAAAATATTATAATATTATGAACAACCTGAAACTTTAAGAAAAATATAATTTCAACACAAAGTTTTAACATGAACTTGTCTGTAATAATAAGAATAAGTCAATTTTTGTTGTAAAATCCTGCACTCGGCTCCATTTTTCTCATGTTGGACATTTTTGTGATGAGGGTGTCACGGTCAACAGTCAAAACGATCGTCCTTTAAGAGCGTTTGGAAAGAGACAAGTCTTCATTTGTGCTGCTCTGGTGGGAGGGGCCACGTACAGAGACGCTGGAGACGCTGCTGTGATAAACACCACACAAAATTAACACGATTTTAATAGAAAATATAATGAAAATATTTTAGTAGAAAATCAGCCGAGGGCCAGATGAAAGGTTTTGGAGGGCCGGATCTGGCCCCTGGGCCGTATGTTTGACACCCCTGGGTTAGAGGATAAACTGGAGCCCAAATATAAAATATCATCACATTTAAGTTTGTTTGTTTTTTTATTTCCTAGGAGGACGACTCAAATATTTTACATTGAGGAAGAATTTGTTTATGTTTTCCAAAAGTCACTGATCTGAAAATGACGATAAATGTTTTACCAAACGAAGCTTTTTATAATGTCACTCTTG